ATTCATCAGATTCCTCACATTCCTCAGTATCCTCATATTCCTCACATTCCTCATATTCCTCACATTCCTCATATTCCTCACATTCCTCATATTCCTCACATTCCTCATATTCCTCACATTCCTCAGGATCCTCACACTCCACAGGATCCTCACATTCCTCATATTCCTCAGGATCCTCAGACTCCTCAGGATCCTCACATTCTTCATATTCCTCACATTCCTCACATTCCTCAGGATCCTCACACTCCACAGGATCCTCATATTCCTCACATTCCTCGCATTCCTCATATTCCTCACATTCCTCAGGATCCTCACACATTCCTTACGTTTTCACACTACATCAAAAATCCGAATACGCACCGTATCGGGATTATGACACCCCTCAGATCTAGTATGTTTTTATACAGAGCACCATTACGAATAAACAAATGGGTAGGGGTGTCATCATTTAGTAGAAAAATCGAACCGTCATCAAGATGCGATTCTATATGTAGACCTCTGGGTTTGGGATTCGAATGTCTCCACAAGCTGCTCATAGCATTTAAATCTCCGAGGAGAATACTCGATGACGAATTTATCAGGTTATCAAACAATTTTGTATTAAAATGTACATTAGGTGAAGCATAGTAAGTAAACAACCTAAAATTTGAAATTGATGATCCTGGGAATTCTACACCTAGCACTTCTTCCGGAGCATTTTGTTTTATAATTTTAAAGGATAAAGGTTTTTTAATAGCTATGAGGACACCTCCACCCCTTGTGTTCACTCTATTTTTAAAAATACACGTATAGTCAACAAACAACCGATTAAAAATACTTTCGTTAAACACATATATTTCATTTAGACAAAACACATCTGGACCTACCTTTTTTATCACATCGTATAGTTCAATGTAATGAGCATTGAAACTGCCAATGTTTAGACACAGAAAGCGACTAATCATGTTAGTCCTTCTATAGTATCTAATCTTATTTGAGTTGGTATTATGATTGTTTCGTTTACCGAGTCTAATGTTTGTATGTTTGAGGAGTTGTTATATGAATTATTCGATCTAAATATTGATTCCATAAATTGTTCTAATGCATATCTATCGCTTTGATCCGCATACTTGCTGATGATAGGGACTAATGTGGTAACAATCGTTGTGAGTAAGCATTGACAGTTATTAATAGTTTGTTCATTTGAGAGACTTTGATAGCTGATTGTTTGTTGAATCTGTTGAATCTCGTTCATGACAGTTGCTAAACTTTTTGATATGTCACCTATAGCTTTGGATAGGTCTAATTTATCACTATTACTTGATGTTGAGATAGTGGTTCGCGAAATTTGTTGTTGTTGTAAATTAAAGTTATTTGAGCGACTAAGACTAAGTGGTGGCCCAGCCGAGACAATATCTGCGAAAGATTTCGCTTTAACGTTACTAATGTACTGCAGACGGACTTTACCCCCTGGAAAAGTCGCTCGATGCGCCTCTCCGCAGTTTGGACATTTTAATGATGGACTGACACAGTTTTCGAGTAGATGTTCACCTCCACATTTCCCACATTTGACATTATTTTTACACTCATTAGCAAAATGACCAAGTTCTTGACATTTATAGCATCGGGTAATTTTAATTGGTGGAATATATTCCACAATAGAGTAAACAAATGGTGTGATGATTATCTTTTTCTTATCCAACAGATTATCCCGAGCTTTTTCATTTGCTAAATCGAGACGTAGTAGAGAAGTTGGTTGATTTCGTTGAGCATTTCTTATACGGGACACTCCGATAACGTCTTTTTCGATTGTTTGAATATCTACTAGCATGTCGTTATTATCAATAGACAGGTCCACGTTTTTCATAACACAACTAAATGTTTTAGCAGTGGTGCGAGGCCAGCGGGAGTTGTATTTAAAATTCTCACCAAATAAATCCGACGGTAAGTTATCCGTTAAAACTTTTTGAGTTGTAACGTCTTGTGGAAATAGCAGAAGTTCTTTCCTCGCATTAAACCGACAAGTAGTTTGGCAATGATGATCTTTTTCCAGTCCAATTAAAATTGAACGTAATATCCCAGGATTTGGTGAGTCACCATTAAATGTGAAAATAATTGGAGGAAACGGTTCAGGCACAAAAGCACTCGGCTTTTTCATTATTTTTTGTGGAGGAGAAGCCGATGAGAATGCACGTTTACCTGTTTGAGAACCTTGATGTGATTGTGAAAACACATATGGCACTGGGTGATATAAGTTCGTTTCAGTACCAGTTTCGCCATTTTGAGTGTAAACGCCATGGTTTGGAGTATGACTCATCATACTTACTGTGTGTACAACTGATAAATGTATATACACGTACGGTAAAAGAGAAGAAAAAACGCGACAGAAGTACAGACAACAACAACACGTCCTATCTGTACAGTGACACAGTCAATAAGGACTATAGAATAGGACTAACTCATATATGTTCATGTCCATGTTTGTCTGTTACTTCCGTCTCGTTCAGAAATATACAAATGTCTTGTATCTTTCATTGAAGATGCTAGTTATGGTTAACCAAACGAAAAAAGAGGAAGAAACATTGCCGATGGTTTATCTTTTCTATAATCAATCTATAAGTGTCTGTTCAAGAAAAGGGAAATTCGATAAATTATTTCATTTCTTTTGTAAAGTGACTCTTACAGACTTTTAAAAATCAAAAGAGAAAATTAGAACGATGGAAGACTTTTTGCATTTATACTCTCGATTTCAATTACTTTCTCCTCTTTTAATTGCAATGCTATTAAGAATATTTTTAAAAGTAATTTTATGCCAGATCAATTCAAATACTATCTTTGATTGTATCATGAATATTATGCATTGATTGAGGTTAAAAATACATTTTTTTTAACAAAATAAAGAAAAGTAGCGAATATAACACCAGAAAATACTGACAAGCACACTTACACATAGGTGAAAAGGAAAGATGTTATTTTTATTAAATACAAAGGAGGGATCCACATAATGTTGATAATCGACCCACTTCAGTTTTTGCTAAAATAAAACGGTAGTGTGAGTAGTAGAAAAGTATTTTTATTTGATTTTAAGTAATTCCGCGTGCTTTTGATAGATAAAATCCAAGTAATTCCTCGTTAATAGGGCGCCAATAGCTCATCCCTTAAAGATCAGCTATAAGGTACGTAAAAAGTATTTTTCTCATGTTTCTTTCGCGTAGATAACAAAGTAAACATTTTATTTAATAACCTCTAAAATTCTCTACAGACTTGTGTAAAATAACAGTTAACCATAGTGTTTTGAGCACAGCAATACACAAATGGTCTGTTATCAGCTGTTAAAAATATCTGGTCGATGACAGTCATTTAATTCCATAGCCTCTAGCGATGATTGAAGAATAAAGTGTCCTCCAGTAAGAGCAGAAATGATAGATACAGTATGGTTGATTAAGACAATTAAGAGTGGTCTACGTTTTCCTTACCGTTCAGCACTGAAATTATCTAAGTCATTTTTATATGCTAATAATCATCTTTAACGAAAGACTGTTTTAAAATCTTGAAATACTGTCTGTATCATATCTTCTAAAATGTCTTAGTTTAATCACCTGGTTTTTCTAAACTCACGTTTATCTATTTGAGAAAATGTTTCAATTACCGTGACATCATTATAATTGATACTGTCTTTTGAACAATTGTTGAGATTCTATTTTAGAGCTTCTGGATGATCGACAACAAAGTCTGAAGCACGTACAACTATATATATATCGTTTCTAGTTCTTCTCTTTTCTTTTTGTTTCTACAATTTTCGCCTTCTTTTCTTCTCAAGGTCCTGAATCTTTTATAGAGATAACTTCGTTATAGTGATCTTCCTCTCCGAATATAAATGTAGCACGAAAGAAATACAAATATAATACAAAGAGAGAAGGAGGAAAAAACATTGACCACTGATTGTCTGATTTAGGAGTCACTTTCAGATCACATTCATTTTCTAAATATATCGTCGTACACTATACACAATAAAAATGATAACATTCAAACTAATTTTCTGCTATCATGTTATTTCGATGGTAAATTGCTGTCATTGGTCTTATCAAAATCTGTTTAGAACAGAAATATGTGATGAACATTACTCTTTATCAGGTATGTACAATACGAACACACACGTAAAACGACACTAGAAGTAAAATTCTGCTTTCGTAACAAAAGCAGATGTAATCGAGATGCTCAAGACCCGACTAACACGTAAACGTATCGGAAATCTGCTGCGTATAATAGGCCTGTGCCAGTTCCCGTTCTTACAGTTCCTAGTGACTGAACAAAATAAACTATGTGCATAGTAACTTTTTGAGAGGAACTGTAACTGTCGAATAGTTACCATTCCTACACTGTAAAAAATAAAGCGACTTTTCATAGTGTCTTGCGGAAAGTGTCTTCATTGTGTTAATAATAATGTTGTGCTAAAGTGTCTTCATTGTGTCAGCTAGCTGTATAAACGTACACACCGTGGAAAGGGCGCCATAGCGGGCGCTTCAGCTAGTAATGAATGAATGGTTAATACGATTTTCAACTAGTTGAAACTAGTTGGAAATCGCATATAGTAACTTGGTTTTCCATGAAGGAAGCATTTCTCAGAGCTGAATCTAGATGCAACAGTATGTAAAATTGAATTTCCAACACTTTTTCCTCTTGGTATAAATTTGGGAAATGCTTTCTTCATGGTAAAAATGCGATTTTTTTTTTATATATTTTTGATTTTCACCATGAAGAAAGCGTTTTCGGACATTGTGCCTAGAGAAAAAAGTATTGAAAACTGAATTTTCTGTATTATTGTCTCTAGGTTCAACTCTGAGAAATGCCTCCCTCATGGTGAATAATATTAATTACACTAATCTAATTTAACTTCTTGGTTTAACTCACTAATTAATCAGAACCGAACGAAGAATATATATTTTTACTTGTGTATTCCTGTGGTACAGTGGCGTAAGAAGGAAATTATTAATCTCTATATACAGAGTTCGAATCTCTGCATGAACTTCTTTTTCCTTTTTATTTTCCTTTCCTTTTTTTCATTCGGTATATCTATATACCCGCTGAAACTAGTACTGAAGCGGGTTAACGGGTTTGTCCCGCTGCTGCTCGCTGCACCCGCTAAATTTTACTTTTTTAGCTAGCTGCAGTCAATGGAGAAGCGAGCGCTTCTTCAGCAAGTGCAGCTAGCTTATTTCTTATGAAATGTCATTCTTGGGAAGAGTAGTGAAAAGCCCAGGTGATTGAATCGTACTATCCGATCGTGCAGGATCGTATACGAATCGTACGAAATCATATACGAGTATGTACGATTGACGTACGAATCGTGGTATCTGGTTTGTCCTCTGGTTCGTACTATACGATGTTATACGAAGTTGTATGATCGTATTATACGATGCGGAGGACAAATCAGGTACCACGATTCATACATAATTTTCATACGATCCTGTACGATAAAGCCGACAAGTCAGTGAGACAACGCTATGAAAGTTTCAGTGAATCTGACCGAATTTTGGCGGAGCTGTTAGCTGTTTATTGGACAGAATAAACAGTGAAAAATGAAATTTCTATCATTTTCTCCACTTCTTTCTGTCTTAACGAGAAACAGACGATGTCACGAGATTTAGCATGTAGATTACCTGTGTTTCCACTCTTATGAAGATTTCCACGACTAAAAAGTGTCTTTTTCTGGCACTCATGAAAGTCTGCACAGTTCCTGATCAAAAAGAGCTGGAGATCTCAGACTCTCGATGTACTTTTTCGAATGAGACTACTTCGGGGTTTATCTATTCCATTGACCGAAAGAATTATTGGATTTTTTTCGATTCGTTTTTTTCAGAAAATGATAATAATTTTAGTTTTAATCTGTTCAAGCATATAATCAGTTTCTCATCACATAAAACTGAAAATATTATGTTCTCACCAAGAAAATTAGGTGCACGAGGTGAAACATTGAAACAAATATCAACAATATTAAACAATAAAAACGATGTTAATCATCGTGACATTAGTGATTACACTGAAATTATTAATCATCTTTTTCTGGATGAACAAACTCGTCAATATGAAATAAATGGGACGTTTATTGATGAATTAAAAGACCAATACAACTGTGATATTGAACTGATAGATTTCCAACAGCAAGCTGTTGTATTGGAAAAAGTCAATTTATTAATACAAGGTCAAACTGGAAATGGTTTTCCGAAAAAATATCTACCGTTGAACACAACAATGCTGTTTATCAATTATGTTTACTTCAAAGGTATGGTCCGTTGCAGTTTTTTGTCAGACTCTTCAAACCTATATTTTCGTGACAAAACAGTTACATATGAAAATAGCCTCTTCCGGTCTCGAGTATTTAAGAGAGCACTCGTGACGTCGAGAAAGCCATAACATTCTTTGCCAACATATTCTTTTTATGAGTTCATTCGATTCTGCAACTGAAATTGTGGTTATGAAAGTGTTTTAGACCTAGGTATCTTATCTAGGTATGCACCGGGTCGACCTGCTCGAAAAAGGTAAAGGTTGCCTTTACCGTTTTACCGGTTTAACGTTCGATATGAATGCATAAGAAAATTTATTAGAAAGTGAGATTATTTAGAGAGTGTATTGATGTCCATGTTTTAACGGGTTTTTATTTCTTCTTTGGCTTTTCTTTCTATTTTATCCGCTCAAAGGCTCAATAGAGTAGATTGAAATCAGGTAGCTCGAATTTCGAGTAGCTTGGTTCGAGTTTTCGGGTAACTCGAAGCTCGGTGTATGCCTATCGTTTAGGAGTTATAGAATTTTTAGTATAAGGACATTCGATGTTTTGTACAAAAACGCCATCTGTAGTATTTGGGATTTTTTAAAGTGAAGTTAACTTCGATAATTTTGCGAAGCATCTCATTCAAAAGAGTGTCAAAAACTGAACAAAATGGCTTATTTAGATTTTCGAAAAAGTTGGATTTTGCTAGTGACAAAAATGTTTTTCAAAAAATTGTCCTGTTTTTTAAAACGTCATTTTTGCAACTGATAGCCATATTTTACAGAAATAAAGAAATGCTGGAAATTCTCACTACATCCATTTTTTAGAGTGTTTAATTCTCTACAAAATTCATAAAAAAATGAATGGTACCTAAAGTCGTGAGAAAAGTGCAAGGTACATACAGGTCCGCCCACCATTACGTGACCTCCGAGCCGCGAAGATTTCAATATCGCCATCGTGTAGAGCATAAAAAGTTAGCCCTAGAACATTAGGCTCGTTTTCCAAAAAAACATGTGGAACATGGTTTTCCAGATATCCACAGTTTTAGAGATACTTTTAGGATTTTCCTCTCAACTTTTGATCAGTTCTCGAAAACCTAGAACTGAAACTGTCACAGGGCTATATATGACCCTTCCATTCCGAGCATTTGATTTTACAGGTTTTAGCGAATATATGCTGGAACTGTTATTGTGCTTTTGTGCATTGTATTTAACCAAATTGTGCCTTGTTTTTAATCTGATATTTAACAACGTATACGACAGATGTACCATCTGTCGCATATTTCAGATCGCTCAATACTTTCTTCACCTCTTCAGTCTATGAAGAATTCGTTCAGTCGATTATCTTCACTTATTCTTCTTAACAACGCGTGAATAACACCAATGCACTCTAGGTTTTTCTTCTGTATGTCTGCACTGTCTGTGTATTTTGTTTAGCTATGTGGCTATTTCAATTTGAAAAACACGATACGTCGAATAATCATGAATTTTATACAGACCAAGATGATATCATATCCAATTATACATTGATGTTTGTACGACGTCCGTTCAGATATTCTGATTTAACCAGTGAATTAGGTGCACAAATTGTTCATTTACCCCTTATTAATGATTACGAATCTTCCATCAAATTTGTCTTCACAATCGTATTACCAAATCGAAATGTGAAATTAATCGATGTTCTAACAAAAATCATGAATAGACGACAACAACGTTTATTATCATTTAATTCTGCTCCTCATCATTACAAACAAATTGATTTATATTTACCCAAACTCAGTATAAAGTCATTTTTCGATTTGAAATCATATTTAATTGAGTTAGGTATGAAAGATGCATTTGATTCAAATCAAGCTGATTTCAGTGTAATAACACTACGAAGTGGACGTCAGTTGTTTTTAGAAAATGTCGTTCATACAACAATGTTGAACGTAAATGAAGTAGGAATAGAAGAAGCAAGTTTAGCATTCAATACTGGTCCACTACCAATGTGTGATATGAATCCGGATGTTGAATTTAAATGCGATCGGCCATTCTTCTTTATGATAAATGAAATAAAAACGGATGCAATTCTGTTTATGGGAAAATACTCACTGCCATGAGCATCTCATGTTGTGATCACATCTAGTAAATGTTTTACGATTGACGAAATTGTGTGGTACTTGTTATAAAATAAAAATGATTGTCAGCACAGCTCCTTTGGTAGTGGATTATGCAACTCATCGCACTACAGGTATACAAGTAGTATTATCGTATCCAATTTATCTGCATGAACTAGTCAGGCACACTTTGTGTTTCCTCGGAGGAGGGATTTCTAATCACCAAAATAAACTTACACTCATCCTATATAAGTACAGGATTACGGACGAGTTTCACAAAATCTGAACTTTTAATGATTACCATTATAAAGAAATTAAGGGGGGTAAACACCTACAAACCTGCCCTCAAATTATGCCAGTTTGTAGAGTGCGTTGAGTACTATGTATCCTCAAGAAATTTCGGCGGTCCTATGAATATTGGTGGAATTATGAATTTTTTATAGACACAAACAAACAATCAAATTTAGCGCGAATTAGAAATAAGAGAAATGATCTAAGCGTTGAGCGTACGAAAAACTATTAAAAGAACAGTATTAGTCGCTTTTGTTAACTACATATAGATTGACTTATGCCTATAATAGATTATTTGCAAGAGTAGAAATATATAGACGGAATGATTAAGAAATATCAGTAATAATGCACATTATATTTATAGTCAGAAAATGTTTAGCTAAGACTAGAACCAATCTTAAGCAACTGATTATATATTTTTTTGAATGAATATCTCTTTGAACTCTACAATTCGTTTCTTCTCTATACAACCAAGTCAGATAGTAAATGACAGAGTAAGCATTTACAAGAATTGATTGATGAACATCATTTTTCATCTGATATGATATTTGTATATCAGTGTAACTTGAATTTGTGTATTTCCATGCGTTTGATTTCAGTACTTAATTTTTCTTGTAGCACTATCCAGGTCAAAAAGTCAGACGTAAGATCTTGTAGATCAGATAAAATCGTAGGAAAAACGTAGGAGAATTCGTGGTGTCTGCAAAACTTACATCAAGCTTTGACGTACGATTCTTGCAAGATCATATTATCTATACGGTCTTCTTGAAAGACCATATGAGATCTTGTAA